GATACAAGATGCTCTCTCATTGATGTTTCTATCATCTCTCCCTCTAATATTTTTTTGTTTGTTTTGAGAGAGCCATTGATTTGTTGTCCCACTTATTTATGCATTCATTGGCTGATTCTTATATGTGCCCTGACAGGATATAATACGCAACCTTGAAGTATCAGGGGCAGCACTCTAACCAACTGAGCTATCCAGCCAGGGCGAGGCCCGCACATTTCATCGTATAGGTGCACCTTAGCTTCTTAGCTATGTCCCTATTGAACATTCAGGCGATTTTACTGTTTATTAAAAAATTATTGTTGGGTTTTTATTTGACCAATGAATAGGTGCCCCGGTTGGTGTTACTAGAAGAGACTTCTTAATAATTTAGCACAAACACATGCTGACCCCTGTTTGCCCCGCTGGCTACACTTCCCTAATTGGGCATGTCAGGCGCACACTCAGTACCTGGTGATATCTACAACCTCTCTGTCAGCATGGCTACTTCCCTTCATTCTCTTTCACGTCCTGGGTAGCTCATCTCTGGTTAACAAGGGCCTCCGCTTCCTACCTGTGCAGGTAAAAAAAAAATGGGGGGCTGGACCCTCCGATGAGTATTCACATTTAATTTCATTCTCCCCAAAATCACATGCAAACAGCTTTGGAGAGAGGCAGGCCTGTGAACACACCAGCTCCGCCGCTGGCCTGCTGGAGAATCTTCGGCGGTGCAACCTGGCTTTCCTGAGCCTCAGTTTCCTCGACCGTGCGACCGGGATGAGGATGCACTGGTGAGGGGGTGGCTCTGCCGACTAAAGGAGATGTCCGTGACCAGGCCTGGCTCTGCGCAGCCCGTGGCCAGTGGCAGGCTCAGTCCCAAGTGCTCAGTGCAGGGTTCAACTGGGGAGGTCAGGCAGCTATGGGGACATCCTCCCCGCCCTGGGCTGGAGCATCGTTAGGACCAGTGGGGCTTCTGGAAGGAGGAAGCCCCTGTGTGAGCAGACAGAGTCAGCTCCCGATGGCCACCGAGCTATGCAAGGTGCCCCAAGCAGTGTGTGTTGGCGGGTGGGGGTGGGGGGGTCCCCCACCTTCCTCTCCCTGGGAAGGTCTTGAAGCCCATCTGTAATGTGGTAACCTCCCGGGCTGGAGGGCGGGAGAGTCGTTAGGGACACCTGCCTCCTCCCCTCCCCCTCGCAGTGGGAACCCGTGGTGACTGAGCACCTGCCTCAGCTGCTCCTGGGAGAACGTGGCCACAGGGGCCTCCAGGCTGCCCTGCAGGGAAGGGCGGAGTGGAGCCCCGACGACGGGAGGAGCTTTCCTCAGGGCATCCGAGGGTGCAATCAACACGAGGATTAAAAAGGGAAAATCATGGCGACTATTAAAATAATCAAAGGGAACGGAAGTGAAGCTGGCACCAGAATAAAGAAATCAGAGCCAGAAAGACATAAACCCGTCAATGTAAGACATTAACACGCAATAAAAACATCTCCCAAATAATGGGGACGGGGGTGGGGGGGGACTATTTATTAATAATCTTGGAATAATCGATTAGCTCTCTGGGGGTGGGATTAGATAGACATCTTCTATCATATAGCAAAATCAGCTCCTGATGAGTTAAGTTGGGGGTGCAGAGAGTAACCTACACATGCACAAAAGACAGTAGAAGTGAGACTAGGTCCTGGGGAGGGGGAGGGGGGAGGGGGGAGGGGGGAGGGGGGAGGGGGGGCCGATTGGTTAGAGTGTGGTGCTAATGCACCGAGGTTGCGATTCAATCCCTGGCCAGGGCACAGGCAAGAATCAGCCAGTGAGTGCATGGACGTGTGGACAACAGATCCATGCTTCTCTCTCTCTCTCTCTCTTTCTCTCTCTCTCTCTCTCTCTCTCTCTCTCTCTCTCTCTCTCTCCATCTCTCTCTCTCTCTCTCCATCTCTCTCTCTCCATCTCTCTCTCTCTCTCATCAATTTTTTTTTTTAAGTGAGACTATATCAATTCTCTAGAATGGGTAATGGACTCTCTAGGCTTAAAAGGCATGAGATAAATCCCAATAGGGAAGATGGATATGTTAGTTCCTATGAAACAAAATACTGCAGGTTAAGAAAAAATAAAAAAGTGAAATTTGTGCAACCGCTGTGGCTCAGGAGTTGAACATCGGCCTGAGAAAGAAAAGGTTACGGCTCCATTCCTGGTCACATGCCCAGGTTGCAGGCTGATCCCTCACGTGCAGCTGTTTCAATGATTCTCTCATCACTGATCCCTCTCTCTCTCTCTCTCTCTCTCTCTCTCTCTCTCTCTCTAACTCTCTCCATCTCTCTTTCCCTCTCTCTTCCTCTCTGAAATCAATAAAAAAATATTTTTAAGTATAATAATGTTACATGCAATAAACCTTAATATTTCACAAAAATCAATTTTAACTATAATAATGTTACATGCAAATAAACACCAATTATTCAAGAAAATAATCTTACATATATTAGATGCAATAAACATTATTTTAAGAATAATAGGATTTTAAGTATAATAATATTACCAAACCTGTACTAACATAGTATGATATCATAAAAGTTATAAGAAATATTAAAAATCTGCCAATAACAGGATGAATTCTTTTGTATTCTAGAATATTTTCTTCCCTTCTGGCTCTATTTTTGTTCATCAGTTTATGTTGTTCATCATATTCCACAAATGAGTGAGATTATATTATATTTATCTTTCTACAACTGGCTAATTTTGCTTAGCATGATGCTTTTAAAGTCTATTTTGTCGGATATGAGTATTACTACTCCAGCTTTTTTTTTTCTTTTCCATTTTTTTAAAATATATATTTTATTGATTTTTGTACAGAGAAAAAGGGAGAGAGATAGAGAACTAGAAACATCGATGAGAGAGGGTCATCGATCAGCTGCCTCTTGCACACCCCCTACTGGGGATATGCCCGCAACCAAGGCACATGCCCTTGACCGGAATCGAACCCGGGTCCCTTCAGTCCCCAAGCCGACGCTCTATCCATTGAGCCAAACCAGTTTCAGCTTCTTTTCCATTTGTATGGAAAAATTTTCCATCCCTTCACTTTCATCCTGTGTGTGTCTCTTGTTCTGAGGTGGATCTCTTATAGACAGCCTATAGTTGGGTCATGATTTTGTATCCATTCAGCTACCCTACACCTTTTGACTAGAGCATTTAATCTATTTACATTTTGGGTTATTATTGAGAGGGACTTATTTATAGCCATTTTAATTCTGCATGGCGAGGTTTCTCTCTCCATTTCTTTTCTCAGAAATCCCTTATGTAATCCCTTTAGCATTTCTTGTAATGCTGGCTTGCTGGTGATGAATTCCTTTTAGCCTTTTTGGGTTCAGGAAGCTTCAGACAGAAGCAACTACTCCACCCTGTAGGGTAATTCTGAGGGCAATTCAAGTTGGAATCCTATTAGCCTGTAGGCAGAGGCAGTCTCTGAAGGCACTGAGTCTTAGCCTGATCCAATTAGTCAGGAACTGCCTTTAACACTATCTATTTCGAATGATAGTCTCGCTGGTTATAGTAATCTTGGTTTCAAATCCTTGCTTTCCATTACCTTGAGTATTTCATGCCATTCCCTTCTGGCCTGTAGAGTTTCTGATGAGAAATCAGGTGTCAGCCTTATGGGAACTCCTTTGAAGGTAACAGCTTTATTTTCTCTTTCGGCCTTTAAGATTGTCTCTTTGTTGTAATTTTTGGCATTTTAATTATGATGTGTCCCGGTGTGGGTCTGTTTGGGTTCTTGTTTTGGTTCTCTGTATCTCCTGAACTTGTGTGACTTTTTCCTTTAATATGTTGGGGAAGTTTTCTGTCATTATTTCTTTAACACCTTCTTTATTCCTTTTTCCCTTGCTGCCTCCTCTGCACACCTAGTATTCTAATATGGCTACGTTTCACATTGTCCCACAGCTCCCTGAAGCTGTCCTCCTGTTTTTGAATTGTTTTTTTTTTCTTTTTGGTTTCCTAATTTACTGATAGGTTCAACTCTGTTTCATTGATTCAAATCCGCAGCTTCCCCTAATCTGCTGTATATTCCTTGCAATGTGTTCTTCATCTGTGTAATGTCATTCTGTATCTCAGACTGTTTTTTTCTCAAAGCTCAGAGGGCACAGAGACTCAAGGAAGGAGGCGGTGTCACTGACACCACACTGGGGGAGGGAGGGGTATTAGATCATGCTTTCCCAGCCACACCTTGGAGGAGACCGGTAGCACCACTGGTCCAGAGGCTGTCTGGGCTGCCCGGGGACATCCACGCCCCAGCGCCCAGCAGTGCCTGGGCGGAGCCACTGGAGGAGCCGCTGGGAGGCCGGTGCTGAAGGAACAGGGGACACGCTGCCCACACCCCTCAGGGAGCCCATGTTCTGTCACCACGAGGAGCCTCTTCAGGAAACAAAACAAACAAAAGCCGCTTCAGTGCCTGGCTGAGTTGGCGGTCAGTGAATGCTTGTGAAATGAATAATGACCCTGACTTGGTTAATCAGAGTAAGCTTGGGGTGACCGTCAGTGCTCTTGGCTCTGAGCACACTCCCCTTCCTCTGGGATCCTGGCCCTGCTCACCTCAGTGGTGTCTGCACAAGACTTCCCATCAGGCCCGACACCCGCATTCCCGGGCTCCTGGGCTCCTGGGCTCCTGGGCTGCACGCCCCACCTCTCACAGAGCGTGGCCAGGGTGAGGAGCCAGAGGGGCCTGGCCTCCTGCGTGGCCCCCAAGTAAGGAGACAGGAGGCACAGTGCTCTCCCCAGCCCCCAGCCCCCAGCCCCACACTGCAGTTCCCAGGGTCTTGCCCTCAGAAGGCCCTCCTCCTCTGGAAGGCCTCCCAGATTTCTGCCTCCTCTAAACCCAGAGAAGACAGGAATGAAAACACTTGTGCTTTGCTTGTGCCATTGAAGTTCTCCTTTAATTGTCCTCAGTGTTCTGCATCTCAAATGTCCCAGGATGCCTGTGTCAATCTCCGCCCTCAGGGGCTCCCAGTCAGAGGGGAGAGACCAGCCTTTCCCCCAGACCGGCCTCAGGGGAAGGAAGGGACCGCCCTGCCCCCAGGGGAAGCAGGTCCAGTGTCCTCCGAGGTGGGAAGCCCTGAGCGCTGGGTCGGTCTCTCCCGGCGGCGACTGCAGTCATCGGTCACCAAGGTGTTCCTGCCGCCAAGGCTGCAGGGCGGCCGGTGCGGGGAGCCGGGTGCAGCGGGCGGGGTGAGCAGGCGGCTGCAGGTCAGGAGCAGGTCCACCAGCAGCAGCTTGAAGAGCAGCAGCCTCAGCGCCCCCAGCCTCAGCACACGGCCCCCCGGCCCTGCGGGAGGGAAGGAGCAGGCTGGGCCCCGGCTCCTCAGCACCCCGCCCCCACAAGGTCCCCCAAGAAGAGGGTCCTGGTCCTCTGCCCTTGCCATCCCCCCTCCATGTGGTCCCCAGCTTCAGGGCAGGTCCTTCCTGGTGTCTAACCGCACCTCCTCCTGGGAATAACGAATACCCGCCTCACCTTCCCTTTCTTACATCCCCCAGTCAGGGGGCCGGGCCGGGCAGGAGGCAGCCTCGCTGCAGAGAGGAGCCCTCAGAAGCTCCTGTGGCCGGAGGAGGCCGGGGGTGACCATGACCTGCAGGTGGTGGGAGTGACGGCTCCCACGCCTCCCAGGGGTCTCCGAGGCCCTGATGCTGCCGTTCCCCTGGGCTGCCCCTCTCACAGGCTCACCTGTGCTTCCCAGCTGGAGGCCAGGGACTTGGCTGGGGCCAGAGGTCTTACCTGCGGGCGCACAGAGGCCCAGGCTGGCCAGGGCACCAACCCAGCCAGCCAGACAGCTCCTCAGGGACCCTACCAACCCCCATAGGACCCACCAGGCCAGAGCCCCACGGCACCTGCGGTCCTGGCCCCAGTACTCACCCCCCAGAGGTTCCCAGAGGCAGGTCCTGGCTGAGGGCGTCTCTCCTGCCAGCCAAGGGGAAGGAGTGAGACTTGGGATGGGCTGCCCCCGCCCCAGTACCGAGCCCCCGCCCCAGTACGGTGCCCTGGCCCTGACACGGGCCTGTTCATGGCACGCTGGATAAATGCACAAAGGAACCGGCAGTGGGAACCTGAGCCCACTTGCTGGAGACCAGGTCCTCCGAGGGGCCCAGGTCTGCCTGGCTCCCTGCCGCCCCCTGTGCTGTGCCCCTGGGAGCGAGCTGCCTCCGCACTTCCGGACAAGGAATCGTTTTCTCAGCAGCCTTTGGAAGGCAGAGGATTCGTTCAACAAAAATGATGTTAAAACCAACATAATCCAAAAAGAGGAAGCCATCTGGTTATCAATAGAGTAATAACAGCCCGGCTGGCCTGGCTCAGTGGTTGAGCATCGACCGATGAGCCAGGAGGTCACAGTTTGATTCTCGGTCAGGGCACATGCCCGAGTTGTGGGCTCCACCCCCAGTGTGGGGCATGCAGGAGGCAGCTGATCAATGATTCTCATCATTGATGTTTCTCTCTCTCTCTCTCTCTCTCCCTCTCCCTTCCTTTCCGGAATCAATAAAAATATATTTTTAAAGAATAAAGTAATAGCCAAAACCGGTTTGGCTCAATGGATAGAGTGTAGGCCTGTGGACTGAAAGGTCCAGGGTTCGATTCTGGTCAAGGGCATGTACCTTGGTTGCCGGCACATCCCCAGTGGGGGAAGGGGGAGTGCAGGAGGCAGCTGATGGATGTATCTCTCATCGCTGTTTCTAACTCTCTATCCCTCTCCCTTCCTCTCTGTAAAAAGTCAATAAAATATATATTTTTAAAAAGAATAAAGTAATAATAATAGATGACCTTGGACATATTACTTAACTTCTCTGTCCCCGATACAATAAGGAAAACTATATGACTTCATAAATGTAAAGTGTTTACAATAAATAGTCCTGGCAGGAGTAAGCACTGAGTAAGTGGCAGCAATCAGTTATTCACTCATTGTTTGGGTCTAATAGGCGGGGTGTATACAGGTGACATGTAGATGTTAATCCTGGGTATAGAGACAGTGGCCTAGGTAGCAGGTTAAGCCATGTACCTTAATGTACACCTCCATCCTAGGAGGGAGGAGGCACTGTCACCTCGGGGGAGACATGCACAGAGCCCAGATTTGGGTGAGATGTCACAGTTGCAAACCCCAGGCCTCAGGGCCTCAGGTGGCCCTGCTCTGAGCCCAGGCACCCCTCCCCCTGGTTGATGGTCACTGGGACACCCTCATGTCCCCATGGTCTGGGCCTGCCTCCTTCCCACCAAACCCTGGGACCAGGGAGAGTGAAAGGGGCAGGGCACTCACAGGGCCCAGACTCCGTCCCCACCTGACAGCTGCAGGGGCTGTGTGCTCTGGCTGCGGTCCCCAGCCCCAGGCCCCGTGTGGCAGACCAAGGCTTCCCAGGATGCCAGCTCCTCTGCGGGCAGGGAGAGCTGGGCCACGCGGGTCCAGGTGCCATCTGCGGCTGGGGAAGGGCCGTAGGTGAAGGCGCCCAGGGCGCTGCCGTTGCCAGCGGAGAACCAGACGGGGCTCTCCAGGCCAGGGGGCGCCGCGTCCAGGACCAGGCAGACCACCAGCACCTGCTGCTTCCCGTCCACCTGCCTGGTGATGGGGGGCGCCAGCGAGGGAAAGGGGGTGCCGCCCACACCTGTAAGAGAGCGTGCACCTGTGGGCGCCCAGATCTGCCTGTGCCCTCCCAGGCCTGCACCTCACTGCAGGCGTCTGTGCTTCTGTCTGTCCTTCCCCATCCAACTGTCCCTCCGTCCTCTCCACCAGCCCTCTCTCCTTGCCTTTTCCCCTGAAACACCCTTCCTTCCCTCCACCCTTTCATCCATCTCTCTACTCATTCACTCTTTTCCATCATCCATGTTTTCTCTCTACTTTCCATCTATATGTCCATCCGTCCATCCATCCATCCGTCCACCCATCCATCATCTTTCCATCACCCATCTATCATATCTGAACTTTTCTATGCAAGGCATTAAAAATACAACATTAATTTATATACATTATATTATATATAATAATTTATATATACATTGTCCCACTTTCAAAGCACTTTCAAACAAACACCCATAACACCTGGTTGTGCCAGACTCAGGAGAGTGTTAGCCTCTGGGGAGTAAGGGGAGGAAATAAGATCTGGAATGAGACTAAAGGGGCTTCAAATGTATCTGTAACGTTTTGTTTCTTTAAAAAAAAAAATCTAGTTCAGTCCGACTGGCATGGCCCAGTGGTTGAGTGACAACCTATGAACCTGGAGGCCATAGTTTGGTTCCCACTCAGGGCACTTGCCTGGATTTTGGGTTTGATCCCCAGTAGGGGGGCATGCAGGAGGCATCCAATCGATGTTTCTCTCTCATCATTGATGTTTGTATCTCTTTCTCCCTCTCCCTTCCCCTCTGAAATCAATACAAAAATACATTTAAAAAAATACAGTTAAAATATGGCAAGATTGTAACCATTTTTTAATCTGAGTGGCATATAGAAGGGTGTTTGGTGTATTATTCACCCCAGGACATGCTTAGAGAGAGGAAGGAAGAGAAACATTGATGTGAGAGAAACAGCCTCGACTGGGGATCGAACCTATAATTCAGGGAGATCTGTCCTTTATTTTACCAAATATTCCTAATTTTCCACAAATTTAGGCTTTTCAGTAAGGATGATTCATTTAATACAAAACAATGTTATTTTTGAACAGTTGGATATTTGCTCATAAAAATTAAATCTTGCCGCAACCGGTTTGACTCAGCGGTAGAGTGTCAGTCTGCGGACTGAAAGGTCCCAGATTCTATTCCAGTCAAGGGCATGTACATTGGTTGCGGGCTCATGCAGGAGGCAACCAGTTGATGTGTCTCTCTCACATTGATGTTTCTCTCTGTGTGTCTCTTCCCCTCCTTCACACTCTCTCTAAAAATCAATGGGAAAATATCCTTGGGTGAGGATTAACACACACACACACACACACACACACACACACACACCCCACAACTCTGAGTGTAGCCAGGACAAAGAAATGCGCAGGCTGCGGGGACTCGATCCAGGGAATTTTGTGGGGAGGGAGGGTGTGGAGTGCTCACATAGGATTTCTCGAGGTCAAATAACTGACCTGTAGCATGTGGACGGTTAGCAGCCCACTCAGATGTGAGCTCAGATCTCGGCGACTCCAACTCCCACATATCACCCCACGTGAAGGATGACTAAGATTTGGTTACGTGACACAGTGGGCCAGCCAGGGACGTGGCCTCGGATAGAGTTGGTTTGTCTCAGGCACTTGATATACTGAGTCTCAATGGTCCCATCAGTATCATGGGGTTAGTGACACCAGCCCCACAGAGCTGTTGCGTAGAATAAAGTTGATGAATGTAAACACCTGGCAGATGAGTATCCGGATTCTATCCATGCTATCATTAATGAGGCATCACAGACAAAGGAAGGAGTGAGCTCCAGGAACCACAGCTCCTGAGCCTTCGCAGTTGCACAGGCAGAGACACTCCCCAAGGTGAGTTAAGCCTCTGCCTCCTCCACAAAGCCCCCCAGGATTGCTCCTCCTCACCCTGGCTGCGTCCTTCCCGGAGTTCAGTCGCCTGCCCTGGGCATGCCCTGCTCCACATGGGCATGGCTGGCCTCCTCAGGAGGGAGAGCTGTGCCTCACTGGGTCAGCTCTAGCTCATGGAGGTGTCTTCATTCAAAGGCCAAGGGCTCCCTCCTACACTCCCACACAAACACACACCTGCAAATCTGCACAGGATCTAGATGAAGCTGGAACGCTCACAATTCTAGTCTTTTGGCTCCAGCATTGATCTTTGGAGGCCTGGGGGTGCATACACCCGGGAAGACACTGAGGCCTTGGGCCTTCTCCTGAGAGCCCCCTGATAAGGGGGAGCTGGGAGTGAACACCAGGCACTCTGACCCCTGCTGGAAAGGGCACCCTGAGGGCAGGAGACCTGGACAGGAAGGGCAGGAGGGACCTCACAATATTGCCAGGTCCCATTACTCCCTACCACATAACAGCCCTGGCTCCTCCGCCTGGCCCCATGGACACCCACCAGCTCGCTTTGTCTCTCTGTGCCCCCAAGAGCTGACTCCTCCCTACCAACACGGTGGACTCCAGGGGAGCAGGACAGAGGCCCCAGAGCAAGGTGGCTGGGAGGCAGAGTGAATGGGGAAGGGAAATGGGCTGCTGAGACCTCAGAGGCTCCAGTGCCTGTGTCTGCCTTCCTGCATCTCACCCACACCCGGACGCCCAGAGGGAGAGGGTGGTTCGGGGCAGACAAACGGGGCACAGAGAGAAGCAGGCAGGGACTCACCTGCGGGCGGGGCTGGACACCCGAGGGCCAAGAGAAGCAGCAGCCAAGCCCCGGCCATGGCCCATTTGCTGGGAGGCAGGTCGCAGCTGCAGACCTGAAGGGTGGGCTGGGGAGCAGGCACCCACAGGCTGCCTCCCAGGCCACAGGCCCAGCTGCACTCAGCTGCTCCACCAGGGAGCCGTTTCCCTCCACAGGGGCCCCTCCCACTCCACCTGGGCCCCCAACCCCGTCCTCTCTCAGGGGCCAGGGAGCTCAGGCTGCCACCCCCACAGCAGGAGCGGGGCGCCCACACTCCCTCCCATCTGCAGATCGCCCGCCCTCACCGGCCCTGCCATCTGTAGGCCACAGAGCACCAGGCAGCACGGCAGGGGCTTACCACACAGCACTGCAGGCCGTCCCCTCGCCGCGGTGCCTCCCATTTCACAGCTGAGGCGACTGAGGCCAGAGACAGAGTGACCTGCCCGAGGCCATCCAGCTGGCAGCGGCAGAGCCAGGCTGGAGCTGTGCCTGGTGGCTGGCCAAAAAACCCCAAAAACTCATGTCCATGCCACTCTGCCCCTTTTAAATACAATCTATGTTTTAGAGAAATTTAAGTTCACAACAGAATTGAGCAGAAGGTGCAAAGGTTTCCGATGTATTCCCTGCACTGTCACGTAAAACCCCTTAAAAAATAAACTTGTTATAAATGCCACTTGCAGTGACTCCACTAAACTTTAGCTAGGTAGGTATCATTTTGATGCTAAAACTTCCCATTAGGTATACACTCTAAGGAAATAATGAGAGATTTGGTCAGTATAAGACAAAGACGTATACACACAGAAAACACAAGAGCAGGCCCTGGCCGGTGGGGCTCAGTGGTCAGAGCGTTGGCCCGTGCATGGAGGGGTCGTGAGTTTAATTCCCGGTCAAGAGCTCATATCTGGGTTGCAGGTTTGATCCTTGGTCAGGGCACATTTGGGAGGAAATCAATGCCTCTCTCACATTGATATTTCTCTCTCCTCCTTTCCTCCTTCTCCCTCCCACTCTCTAAACAGCAGTGAAAATAAAGGGGGCATATATAATACTTTCAGGAATAAAGAATTACTTAAAAAAAATAAAAGTAATGTATATTGTAATTTCCATTGTAAGATTAATTGGATTTGAGGGAAGCAACTTTGCTCGGGGGGGAAGAGTAGAGTTATTAGCATTTTATCCATTTCCTCAAAAGAAAAGAAAAAAAAGCCATGCAAAAATATCCTATGGGGATGGGGGGAGGATTAACAAAAACCAAAAACAAATGCAAGAGCAATTGTAGGGTCTAGTAATAATTAATGTCGTTTGTAACATTCTTTTAAAATCTTGCTTGGCGTTGACTTGTATTGACATAACCTTCAAACACGTGGTATCTACAGAACGTGTGAAGTGCAATTAACAAGTTTTGCTTGAAAAAGTTTGTGTTTGGTTTGGTTTTTGTTGCAAAACTAGGGCTAAGAAGATGGCAGATGAAGAGCATATTCGGCACTGCATGCTTTACGAGTTCCAATTAAGAAGAAAAGCAAGTGAGGCTGCAAAAAACATCTGTAGTGCTCTTGGTCAAGATGCAGTTAGCGCCAGAAAATGCCAGCGTTGGTTTGAGAAATTTCGCGAGGGAAATTTTTTGTTAGATGACAAGAGTGGTCGAGGCGTGTGACCAATTTTGATCAAGAAGCTCTTCAAGCTCTTTTGGTGCAAAATCCTCAAATTACCCAACAAGAGCTTGCGACAACTTTAAATTGTTGACAAAAAACAATTTCCAATCAATTGCGTGCACTTGGCAAAGTCCAAAAGTTTGGAAAATGGGTTCCTCATGGGTTGACCGACAACAACCGTAATCAAAGAGTCACAATTTGCAGTTCGCTCCTCTCTCGTCAAAACCGTTTGCCGTTTTTAGAGCAAATTATTACCGGAGATGAAAAATGGGTGCTGTATGTTAATTTGAAAAGGCGGCTTCAATGGTTGGACAAAAATGAGGCTCCGCAGCCCACGCCAAAACCTGACTTGCATGCGAAAAAAGTGATGTTGTGTGTTTGGTGGAATTTTAAAGGAATTCTTCATTATGAACTTTTACCATCTAACCAAACCATTACAAGTGCAGTGTATAGTGCCCAATTGGAAAGGTTAGCCCAAGCTTGAAGAGAAAAAGAACCCGCGCTGATTAATTGGAAGGGCGTAATTCTTCACCACGATAACGCACGACCGCATACTGCAAGAATCACTGCTGAAAAACTGCGCCAGTTGGAATGGGAAGTTCTCCCTCAACCTGCATATTCTCCTGATATTGCCCCTTCCGATGACCATTTGTTTCGTTCTTTGCAAAACTTTCTTCTTGGAAAAAAATTTAATAATGAAGAATGCCTCAAAAATGCATTGACCGAATTTTTTGCATCAAAATCACAAGAATTTTACAACAGAGGGATTAAAAATGCTTTCTGAGCGTTGAGCACAAGTAGTAGAAAACAACGGCAACTATATTGTTGATTAAATTTTGTTGTATTGTTTAAATAAATTCGATTTTTAAAAAAGTATTAGAAAACGACATTAATTATTACTAGACCTAATATAAACAACCCGATTGCCCAATGTTGGGGAAGAGTTAAATTAACGCATGTTTGGACGTTTATGTTAGTGAATATTATGCAGCTTTTCAAATCATGTTTTCAAAGAATGTTCAGTGACATGGGATTAGAACAGAGTTTGCTCAGAGTGTGGGCTGTGAAGGCAGACCAGTGGCTTTCAACCCCGACTGGTCATTGAGAGTCAGGTGACTTTCCTCAAATTACTTACTTGCCTAATTCTCCATTTCTGAACTAGAATAAGCGGATTGGAAAATAATTATCTTGTTTTTATTAATCTTTAAAAAATGTATGTATATTTCACATGTTTAAAACATTATTTTTATTGATTGCAGAGGGGAAGGGCGGTGGGGGGAGAGAAAGATAAAAACATCAATGATGAGGGAGAGTCATGTTCAGCTGCCTCCTGCATGCCTCCTACTGGGGTTCCAGCCCAGAATCTGGGCATGTGCACTGACCTGGAATAAAACAGTGACCTCTTGGTTCATGGGTGGATGTTCAACCAGAAAGTTCATATTTCTTTCAGTGTTTAGTATTAGAAGTACTTTGGGTTTTAGAAGTATTGTGATATTTTGTGCCCACAAATATGCTGCAGACACAACTCATGCTTATATCGCTGAGCCTATGGTAAAGATTACTCTTCTTATGCTTCATTTTGCTTAAAGTCAGTTTAGAAGACCCTATTGACAATGAAGACCGACGGTGCATACTAAGAAGTCATAAATGATTTCATTTTAATACATGTGAATACATAGTTACATACACAGGAAGTTTAAACAAACAGGCTCCAAATCTAAAGAGAAATAATATACTCAATTTTGCATGATCCTAGAGAAAGCTTATCAAATGTTTTGACTCTTATATCTCTATGGTAGGATTTTGAATAGTTACCTTTTCATCTTTCTAGTTGTTTATTTCTGAAATTTTCTACAATAAATCTGAATTGTGTTAAAAATAAAAAATAAATATTATTTTAATATATATTGTAGTACATTTTAGAGAGAAAGGGAGAGGGAGAAAGTCGTAGAATTATCAATGATAAGGGAAAATCATTGATCAGCTGCCCTTTGCGTGCCCAATAATGGAATATGCAACCTGGGCAGGTGCCTGACCCTGAATCAAACCTTGACCTCCTGCTTCCTAGGTCCATGCTCCACCGAGAGCCACGGCGGAAGTGCAGGAAATAAACGCGATGACAAATAGAACCACAGATGCACTCTAGTTTATTGAACAGTTCCTTTATTGTTAGACATTTGGGACAGGAGACACGTGTGATCACCCAGTAACCCCAAATCCACAGGCACGTCCTTCAAACGCTGGGCGGCGCTGAGCGCTGGGTCTGGGCGTCTTGTCCGGCCTCCCAGAGGGCCCGGTGCTGCGGGCGCCGGCGTCCTCCATGGAGCTGTGGCCGAGCTCCCGTCCTGAATGCCGCGTCCGAGGTGCTGGGCCACGAGGCTGCGCAGGCAGCGCCTGTCGGGGAGGCCGGGCGGGGCGGGGAGAGCACGGAGTGTCCAGCACGGGGCCGGGGAGCTTCACGGCCAGCAGGTCATGCAGGGTCCGGGCCTAGGGCCGGGGCCCAGGCCCCGCTGCCTGTGGCAGGTGCTGGCGGCCGCTGGCGGTACTTCCTCTTCCTGGGGCTCTGGTGGAAGGCCGCCTTCTCCTCCTGGAGCGCCTTCTCTGGGGCTTCCTGGGTGGAGGGGCAGAACTGGGGCACTGGTCCAGGAACAGGCTGAGGGAGCGTTGAAGGGTGATTTTGTCCCCACCCTCTTCTGCTGGAACTGGCTGGTGTGGACTCTGCACGGGTGGGCCGTGGGCCGTGCGCTTGGGGGGCAGGGTGCTGGGGGCCACAGACGGCTGGTCTGAGGGGGCACTTTTCTCTGGGAACTGGCTGCCCAGCCCCAGGGTCTTGGCAGGCGGGCTGCTGCTGCTGCTGCTGGCCAGGAGGGGCCTCTTGGCCCCTGCAGCCAGGCAGGGCTTGGGGACCAGGGCCACCCTCCTCCTGTCCCCGCCTGCAGCTGAGATGTGGAGGAAGGACAGCTTCGGGGCAGGATGCTGGGCGGCCCGGGGCCGGCTGACTGAGTTCCTGGGAGGCTTCTTTGCCTTCAGCCCCGGGTCACACAGCTCCTGGGCGGGGGGCAGTGGGGTGCGGGGGGCCAGGCCTCTCCTCACGGACTCTGGCTGGATGAGGAGAAACTTGGGGGCCCAGCTGTCTCTGGGGGGAACCGCGGGCAGGCCGCCAGAGCTGGTAGGATGATGGCAAGGATGCAGGGGCACCGGGACCGGGGCTCGGCAGGAAGCAGGCATCTTCTGTGCCCCCAGAGCTTGCAGATGTGCGGGAGGATGACAGCTGGGAGCCGGGACCCTCAGCAGGGCTGGCGCTCGTGCTGCTCCACTTCTTCCGGGAGAAGACATGGCCCTGCTCTCCTGGGCTCTGCAGCCTAATGGCTCAGGCTGGGTGCCTCCGCCC